TTTTTTTKWAACTGAAATGAGGTTGTTWTAGTCATGTTGATTTTTTTTTCTAAAGATATTCGTTTAAAAATTATTTTGATTATTATTTTGATTATTTTGAAAACATTTTAAATCCTCTAGGAGTTATATTTTAGCAATTCGAGAAGTGGGACGGTCCCACCTTTCAAGATTGTTATCCGAAAGTACTGATGCAACGTATAYTTATATCGCATACAATGCCACACAATGCTGAGAGTTTTTCGTTTAGAACAGACAACGAAGTTCAATAGATTAAGAGTAATTATATCAGTTTGCTGTATACGCTATTTCTTTCAATGTTTCTTTTCGAGTTAGCCTTGAAAAGCGTAAGTGCAATGTGGTGCTACAAATRATGTTCAAAAAGTGTTTTATTTTATATAATTTCTTTATGCAACTGGGCATAAATAGATACGTATGACCGACCTTCCAGATTTCGCAGACTAATGATCTGAATTGCAAATGGATTACATATTAGTGAGGGACTTGGGAAAGTTCTTGGATAAGTCTTCTCCCYATACCCCTGTAAGATAATAGCAAGCCTGACATTTCTTTATTCAACGTTTTTAGCAATACTCTAGTTTCGAATTCAAAGCGAATAACCGTTTTTTAGTTTATAACAGATTCTCTTTCGCCAAGAATTTACCAAACAGAAAAGATAGCACGATAAAATTTTGTAAKTATAATAGCCCTAACAATTTACACTTTCCCCCGAGTTGAGGCAAACTTTGYATTCCTCAGAAGTCTTGAACCTGTTGCCTTTTGGAATATAGGGTTAGTCTCAACTCGGAGAAAATGCAAATTTACAAGGCTAACATTTTCTCGTGCTTTCTTTTGTTTTCGGTAAGTTCTTTGAGCAAGACTGAATCTGTTGTCAAATAAAGCAGGGGTTATTTCTTTTTGAATTCGAGATTGGAGTATTTTGTTTTATACATACGAGGGCAGTTTACAGAGTTACAATCGCGGTCCTCTTGTCTTTGTCCAGCACAGCCCTTTTTATCATAACAATAAAGTCTTCTTGTTTGTTTACCATTATGGCCACAAACTTGATCACAGGCTGACCATGGCCCATATTTCGGCCTTTTGCCCTTAACTGAAAAATTYAAGTTTAAATTACTTWACACAGCACAATAGATAGAACAAAAAAGTGAAAAAATATTTCTGGTCTTGGTAGTAGGTACAAATCGCTTATTGCAYATTGTARCAGGAACTTTACACTGTGGACTGTATATACTACTTCTATATCAATCTTGGACATACCGTCGTCTTGGGACTTTCGCATGGGTTTGGCGGTTGTTCATTAACGTTTTTTTATAATTATCCTTTTCCGTCCATTRCTCATGMATAACCCCAAAAAGGAAACTCATGTCTAAGMRTACAAATCTCGAACGAAGAAAACAGAGAAAATCGATCATACATACTTGCTTTGGCACCAAAAGCCTCTGGTATACACATGTATATCATCCATATCACAATTATGGCGGAAATTCCTCCTCTTGTCATGATGATAGCAAGAAGAACAACTGCGAAGATGAATTTAAGAATATAAGGCGCAGCACCAAAAGGATTTTGAAGTAGCTATAGTAGTAACAAGAAAACTAATGTTTTTTGGGGGAGTTAATAATTCTACTCTTTTTTTTTATTTCTTAAGTGATCAGACATTTCTGATCACTTTGCAAGACCTCTTTATTGTACCTGGCCGAGATGAATGGAGTGCATCAACGAGACTTTTAAATACCCGTCAGTAACGAGCGGCAAAACTGAGACAATTTTACTTTAAAAGTAAAGAAGGAGCCGACGGGCTCCTGGGAGAAACATACCCTGTTCAAATATAATTTGTCCAAGCCAGCTGYAAGTCAAAACTGCCGTGCATGGCCAGCGAGAAATTCAGGAAAAAATAATCWTCCAGGAAAGGAATACTTTCTAAGAATGTTTGGCCAGAAATTAACAATTTCCCAACTATAAACGTTATATAAGCCGTTTTTGACCTTAAAAACGTTGTATAAGCCTTAAAAACGTAACTTAACTTAAAACGTTCGACAGGAAAAAAATAAAAAAAGGAAAATCCCTTTCCCAGGAAAAAATCCGTAAAGAACAGTTATTTAGAAGAACAGATCACACTGTCTAGTAAGACATCGGTAAGACAAATATCAATCTTGTTAAATCACTCTCAGATCACAAGACACACCTTACCTTGACCTCTCAAACTACGAGTCTCACATAGATGTTAAAACTTTCCTAACAAAGATYGCCGAAKATGTTATTACCGTACGTTGTCATTGAAAGCAGCGAGACGCCTCAATTAGGGAGTCCGAAAACTAGATTGATTTCTCCATCTGATCAATTATACCTCAAGTTTGATTAGTTTCTTCTTAGTTTTTGGTGAATTCTTAATTGGAACCCCATCCCTTTTAATTGTAATTTTTTTCCTTACCGATTAGGTTACCATGGAGTTTTGGACATCATGCATATAAATGCTCCATACTCATTACATTACCCTGACATTGTTTGGTGAGAGGGTTTGAAAATATCGGCTTTTGGTAATCGCTTTCCAACTTGACATGACGCCATTCAATACAATATGACAGATATCCGGTAAACATATAAAGAGCGCTATTRMTGCCCCATGATACTGCAAAATTTGTGAGGTGGAAGGTGTAGGATGTGGAGCTGATTAAATATGAGAAAATTCTAAAAATTAAACTAGAAACTATAAACTAGTAAAGAGTGGTTAGAAGGTTTTTCGAAGAAAATCTCAAGGTCCGAACAGATTTATAGAGTATTTAGGTGCTAGACCATTGAGAGCTTTATAGGTCAAAGCAAGTACTTTAAAAGTAATCCTCTTTTTGATAGGCAGCCAGGGAAGTTCACGCAGTATTGGAGTTATATTTTCTTGCTTTTTAGTTTTTGTTAAGATACGGGCAGCCGAGTTTTGGACCATCTGTGATTTTAAGTGTTTAAGTATAATTATATTAATTTTAGTGTAATTTTAATTTTTTTTAAGTGCATCCAGTCAGCGGGAGATCTGCAAGGAAAAATGTGATTACCTTTTTCTATAGAAAACTTCGACATCTAGTCGAGAGAAGTAGAGAATCTATAGAAATTGGTAGTCAAAAATCGACTTTTGATAGCAGCACGAAACAACACTGTTGAATGAAGAAGAAAGATMGTTCGCTTCCGAAACGTTTAATGACGCCCTCTTGGACTTGTTAGTCTTAATAGTCTTGAATACAATGTTATTGCCCTATTTACGGTATTTTATGTGGAAAGTCAAACGAACCCTTAACAGTATCTAAGAGTTAGTAGGGCGTTTTTTTATCTTTTGTTAATATGCACATACTCAGAAAGTAAAAAATTGGTGTCCATTTTCTAATTAAATATCCACTTACAGTGTGACTACTGAGACCGGGGCCATCTAAAGAATATAGAATTAATCCCACAATTTAGATTGAAAACAAAGGCTTCAAACTAAGGAAACTGATCTCATTAGCTTTAGTAAGTTATTTGGAATATCGCTGTCATAGTTTTTTAGCTTTTTTAAGCCTTGTTATTCAATAGAAATATTGTGATTTTTTTTTACATTCTCTAGGTGCATGGCCCCGCTTCAAATGGTCGCACTGTAAAGTTGYTCTCGATCGATCAAAATGGTATTTCGATTCATTTAGCCTCTTTTCGGGGATAAATGTTTATTTCAATTCAAAACTTATTTGATAATTTGGGAAAATTGTTTCAATTGCTCTCTCTTACATCTGAACCTATCTGGTTCTATACGTAGTGTGCAATGTMTMTCAATTCAGCTGMTTCTGAAAAACGCGCATGGAACTGTTGAGTGTGCAACATGTATATCTATCGACATTTTTAAAAAGTGTGAATTCTTTTTGGAATAACATTTAAAAACTCGGTAATTCCACACAGCAGCGTCTGCTCATGAGACAAAGACTGGGGTAACTTACCTTCACGATCCTCTCTCAAAAGCGCTTATGTAATGCCACTGGAGTCAATGGGCAATTAGGAGATCAATTATATATACTATCCCCGTTGTATTACAATTGAGCCTTTCTAGTTACTGGATTTACTCCGTCCATYTCGCCGCTGACCAAGCTTTCGGCGGTGTATCTAACGCCTGCCCATATTTACCGAAGYAATTTGCACTTTTTAATTTTGGAAACTTACAGCAAACACCATTTGAAATCAAAATTTGCAATATTCAGAGATTATTTGTTGCTATTGTCGGTAGATGCATCATTCGGTACCATTATCGAGATACAGCTATTTCAAAAAACGTTGTCGGGGAGAACGGCGAATGGCGATTGTCGAAGGGAGATTGCACGGCCGAAAGAAATTATGGTTACACTGTTTTGATAAACAAAATTTCACTTGGGTTCATTGAATTCAACTTACATAGAAATGGAGCCAACCCGGGG